TACCAACACTACAAAGTCCATGCTTGGTTCTTGAACCAATTCCCATTTATTGAATGGGAATATGATCTATCATGATGAATCTCCTGTACACAAATGCATTCTATAAAGATTAAATTAATTTCCTCCTGATAACTGAGAGAATCACAGTCACTGCTAGTAAATACAAGGGAGATAAATATGACTAGTCATTAGAGAAAAGAAATCTATCAGAGTGATACTAAATAGCACAAAATTTGAGACTGACAAAGCTAATTTGATTTTGTCCCTGGAACTTACAGGTAACTTTTTTTTTAAGATATAAAACCTGACTGTCAAGTTACCTCGAATACAAAACAGGTAACTAAGTGATTTTAACTCTACTATATGGAACTATTTTATACAAGTATCAAGCATTAAATCTTATACCAAAAATGACTGTGTCGACAAACTTATTGAGTAAGACATATAAGACATGAACAAATGGAGGAACAAGAAAGAAGCAAGAGCTGGCATGATCATGTATACCACCTAACCTGAAGACTGAAGCCACAACATTACTTGAGTTCACGACCAACGTGGGTAACATAATACAATGAGACCCTATATCCAACAAAACAAAGAAAACAAAACCTACAAAAACATAACAATCTGTGTTTAAACGACTGTAAATCCCATAAATACATACATCAATCAGGCAATCTTGTATCTCTTGTGTGTGGGATAAAAGACAAATGTTTAGCCAATCTTTGAAGCCAGAGAAAGAAAAGTCCTCAAGACTTCATTTTCAATTAATCAGCAAATCTAGTGGGTTAAAGTAGAGCAGAGCAGTGGTAGAGTGCCATCTGTGAGCAAGCCAGCCAAGAAAGTTGAGGCTCTGAGTTCCAATCTCCAGTACAAAGAAGTTTTGTTCACCTTGAATTTCCTTCATCATCGTATCACAAGCTTTTACTCTCATTGTGAAATGATAAGTCTCTAATTGCTTTTTATCTTTTTCTTTTTCTTTTGGTCGGTCATGGGGCTTGAACTCTGTGCCTAAGTGCTGAGCTACAGCGCCACTTCCAGTTTTCTAGTGGTTTATTGGTTTATTCCTGCCCTGGCTGGCTTTGAACTGTGATCCTCAGAATCTCAGCCTCCTGAGTAGCAAGGATTACAGGCATGAGCCACCGGCACCCAGCTTCTAATTGCTTTTAATAAATGTTTTCCCAACTAGCTATCTAATACACACACACAAACACACACACACACACACACACACACACACACACACACAAACACACACACACACACAATATTTTTCTGTTGTTTTTTTTTTTGGGGGGGGGGGTCCGGTCGTGGAGCCTGAACTCTGGACCTGGGTGCTGTCCCTCAGCTCTTCAGCTCAAGGCTAGCACTCTACCACTTGAGCCACAGCGCCACTTCCGGCTTTTATCTTTTTGCTGATGTGGTGCTGAGGAATCGAACCCAGGGCCTCATGCATGCAAGGCAAGCGCTCTACCACTGAGCCACCTTCCCAGCTCCACACAAACGATATTTTTAATCAAAGTCAAATTTACCTCCAGAAGCCAAATTCTGTCACTTCTAAAACATTTTTGCAAGTATAGGATGCAGTTTTAATCAGCAAGTACCGAATTAATAACTATATAAATCTTACAAATATTTAGGATATTTATCTCAAATACATCTTAATACATTGTTTTAATGTAGTCTAAATGCATATGCATACATACACCTGAGAAAAACTTTTTTAAAAATCTAAGAAAGCCAGGTACTGGTGGCTTACGCTACTCAGGAAGCTGAGATCTGAGGATCACAGTTCAAAGCCAGCCCAGGCAGGAAAGTCTGTGAGACTCTATCTCCAATAAACTACTAGAAAACTGGGAGTGACACTGTGGCTCAAGTGGTAGAGCGCTCACCTTGAGCTGAAGAGCTGAGGGACAGCACCCAAGCCCAAGAATGCAGGGACAGTGCCTGACAATCTCACCAAAAATAGCCAGATAATGTGGGATAATAATTTTAAAGAGTTGGAAAAAAAAGTACTAACCAAATTAAGAATTCTAAGAAAAGTAACAATTGCCAACAAAAGAGATTTTGGCATAAGTAAATACCTAAACCCAAATTTAAGAATATTTAAATCCAAATATACTACGCCAGGCACAGTGGTATATTTGCAGTCCCAGCTGCTTGGAAGGCTGAAGCAGGAGAATCCCTTGAGCCCAGGAGTTTGAGGTTGCCCTGAAAACATAGTAGAACCCCATCTGGAAAAAAAAAAAAAAAGCTCTGCCATTCTATCAAAGATCAGAGCTTATGGTAGGCAACTTTCTATGGAGCAAATGGTCCAAGTATAAGAAATGGCTACAAAAATTATACATTACTTATGAAGAAATGTATAATATCTCAACACAGAGGAAGAGAATGAACAAAAAGATAACCATTAAGAAAACAGCAGAGCCTATCTTGGCTCAGATCTCTCACTAGGGAAAGAGTAGGACAATTAAAGAAACCTACTTTATGGTCACAAGGACTGACCAGAGGAAGCAGTAGTTAAACAGAAGTGCAGACAGCCATGGCTCTCAAAATGAACTTAGAGCTTCTACACCACATGTGGTCAGGACCTTGTGGAAGCTGCTGATGACTGCAAAATGGGTGCCCTCTCTGCGGAAATCGGTAGGCAGAGGGGATGAGGGCCAGCAAGTGCTAATGGCCAGCACGTGTCACGGGCCAGCAGTTCATGTTGCCATACCACATCCTGTGGAGCTGTCCACCAGGCCACTTCACCAAGAGGCCCAACATATTCTTTTAAGTACAGGACCTCCCGCTGTCAGAGAGGACTTCCCAGATAATCTTGGGGAACTAACGAACGGGGAGAACACCAAACCAAGAGACAGAGAAGAGGAAATATCCTTCCTGCCACTACTACCACCATTAACAAGGGTCCAGCAACAAGAAAGAAGAGTCCATTTCTGAGGAAGACACATAAGCATGAGGATGGAAATAGGAAACGGAAAAAAAAAAAAAATCACAATTAACAATGTATATAAAGGATAATCGTAGCATCCATAACAAAAAAATTCAAGCCTTGAGGCTGGGAAGGTGGCTCAGTGGTAGAGCACTTGCCTTGCATGCCTGAGGCCCTGGGTTCGATTCCTCAGCACCACATAAGCAAAAAGAAAAAAGCCGGAAGTGGTGCTGTGGCTCAAGTGGTAGAGCGCTAGCCTTGAGCTGAAGAGTTGAGGGACAGCGCCCAGGCCCAGAGTTCAGGCCCCACGACCAGACCAAAAAAAAAAAAAAAATTCAAGCCTTACTCAGCTTCTGTCTGGGGTGACTCAATATTCCCTTGCAAGCCCCACTAACCACTTAAAGAAGAGATGAGCCCATTTGGGAGCATAAGCATGATTTATTTCAGCCTCTACTATTAGCTGTCTACTACCCACCCAGACCAGTACCAGGAAAGCACTCATCTATTTATGCCATGGTACACCAAATGTGTTTTAGAAATGGTGTACTAGATTGAGTAGAATTTCCTGAACATTCATGTCCACCCAGAACCTACGGGTGGGACCTTATTTGGAAATAGAGTCTTAGCAGAAGTAAATAAGGTAAGGTGACACTAGAGTGATCACTAAGTCCATATAACTGATGTCCTTATAGAAAAAGAGAAAAGGAAACTACTGTGCACTGGAGGTGCACAGATGACAATGAAAAACTTAGGCTGCCACAAACCAAAGAGAAACCAAGGAGTAACCAGGACTGTTAGCCATCACCACAAACCAGGAGAGGCCTGTAAGATTCCCTAAGGGTACCCATGATGTGAGACTTTGAAACCCTAAACTGTGAGACAAAAACCTGTTGTGTTTAACTACCCAGTTTACGATCATTCATTCTGATATGATCATTATGATATGATCCCATCCATTTAAATTTTTTTAAAGATAAGGGAACAGACAAAACTTATGTGCTCATAATTCAAAGGAAGAACTATATGGGGACCCAAAAAACTGTTAAAAATTCAGTCAGAATAGGAGACAATTCTAGAAAAGATGAAGGAGAATAACTAAAAGGGAGAAGGAAGAAGAGGAAGAAGGGAAGGAATAAGAAGGAGAAGACAAGGGAGAAGAGAAAGAAGAAAAGAGAGGGGGAGGACTGGGAAGGTAGCTCAGTGGTAGAGCGCTTGCCTTGCATGCCTGAGGCCCTGTGTTCGATTCCTCAGCACCACATCAGCAAAAAAAAAAAGCCAGAAGTGGCGCTGTGGCTCAAGTGGTAAAGCGCTGGCCTTGAGCTGAAGAGCTGAGGGACAGTGCCCAGGCCCAGCGTCCAGGCCGGGACCCAAAAAAAAAAAAAAAAAAAAAAGAAAAGAGAGGAGGAGGAGGAAGAGTAACAGCTGTAGATGCACTAACTTCATAATTCTAGATACAGTTGATAGCTGAATGGTTTTTTTGCTTTAAGCTAATTTATTCAACAATTCACTTAGGTACTGTGTATTATTCTGAATGTGTGCAATTCATGTTTTAAATAGGAGAATAAAAGGAAAAATAAAGGGAAGAAAGCCACCTGTCTTAGCACCTACTTGACTGGAACTAATAAAGTACATCTTCAAGACTACAGACTGCCACTAGATTTCTCTAACTCAGCCAGAGGTAGCAAAACTCAACTACTTAGCTGTAGGAGTCAGTCTCAGGAGTCTATCCTAGGTTTCCTCCCTTCTTCCAGTCTTTACAAAATCTGCAATCACTTAATTCCCTTCTGTTCATAATATCTACAGTAGCTTCTCTTCACAGAAAATGAATCCTTGCAAATACAGTTCAGTCTGAAAGGTTTAAAACCAAACCAAAGGAGAATTTAACACAAACTATTAATAGTAACAAAGCAGAAGGGCTAGACATTGACCTTTAAATTCACAGGACACATCTCTCCCCTTTGACAGATGCCTGCATAATAATAAAAACTAGATGTTTACTTAAGTTCTGAAGCCAATTTTTAACTTTATTAAAAGGGTGGGTAAGGAGGGGTAAAGCCAGAAGTACAGAGAAGAACAGACACTGCTGCTGTTACCTGGAGTCTCGTATTCATTTCCAAGAAGTAAAAATTCTTCCTCGAGTCTACAAGAAACTCCACAGTTCCAGCAGAGGAATATTTCACCGCTTTGGCAAGAGCCACGGCTTGTTCTCCCATTGCTCTTCGAGTCTTAGGATCCAAAAAAGTGCTGTAAATACAAAAAGCTCCAGTCTGCACTTAGAACAAAAATCAAGATATGCTTTATGTGCACTATACAAAATTTCCTTGCTCAACTTAAGAGTTCATAATGTTATGTTTTTCTATGCTATTTGCCCATTTCTCTACTAGGCTCATCTTTTTTCTTCTTCTTTTTTTTTTTTTTTTGGGGGGGGGGGGTCCAGTCATGGGGCCTGAACTCTGGGCCTGGGCACTGTCCCTCAGCTCTTCAGCTCAAGGCTAGTGCTCACCACTTGAGCCACAGTGCCACTTCCGGCTTTTTCTTTTTGCTTATGTGGTGCTGAGGAATCAAACCCAGGGCCTCATGCATGCAAGGTAAGCGCTCTACCACTGAGCCACTTTCCCTGCCTTTTTTTTTTCTTCTTTTTTTTTTTAATTGTGAAAATACTGTACAGAGGGATTACAATTACATGGGCAAGGTAATGAGTGCATTTCTTTTCTTTTCTTTTCTTTTCTTTTTTGTCGGTTGTGGGGCTTGAACTCTGAGCTTGGGCGCAATCCCTCAGCTCTTCAGCTCAAAGTGAGCGCTCTACTGCTTGAGCCACAGAGCCACTTCCGGTTTTCTAGTGGTTTATTGGAGATAAGAGTCTTACGACTTTCCTTGCCCGGGCTGGCTTTGAACCATGATCCTCAGATCTCAGCCTCCTGAGTAGCTAGAATTACAGGCGTGCACCACCGGCACCCCGGCATGACTGTATTTCTTATCAAGCATTGTTGACTCCTCCTTTGTTTCCCCTTTCCACACCTTCCCATCTCCCCTCCCACCCCTTCTCCACCTCCTCCCCCACTGTGCCAAAGATGTATAGTTCATTTTCGACATAAGATCTTGTACATCTCATTACTGCAATGGGTCCACCTGTATCCCTATTTTAAAAATTGGTTTTTTCCCTTCCCTCCACATATACCAACATCAAATACAGTGAAAAGGGTTATACCGTGGGGGAGGGACATACAAAGCAACAAAGAAATATCTTATAAATATGTTAGACACAATAGCAAGAAAGAAAAAATATTTGAGTCCTTAACTTGGGGTTCATTTCGCTTAACATCAAGTTATCTGACCATTTTTGCTTGTCTCAGACATATACTAGTTATTGCAAATAAGGCAATGTCATTCTTTCTGATGGAGGCATAGAATTCCATTGTGTATATATACCACATTTTCTTGATCCATTCATCTAATGAGAGGCATCTGGGTGGGTTCCATATCTTAGCTATGGTAAATAATGCTGCAATAAACATAGTCATGCTGGTAGCTTTAGTATGGTCTTGTTTGTGATCATTTGGGTAAATGCCCAAAAGTGGGATTGCTGGGTCATAGGGGAGCTCTGTGTGGAGTTCTTTGAGGAACTACCATACTGCTTGACATTCCCACCAACAATGGTAGGGTTCCCTTCTGGCCACATCCTCTCCAGCATTTGTTGTTATTAGAGTTCTTGATTATAGTCATTCTAACTGGGGTGAGGTGGTATCTCAATGTTGTTTTGATTTGCATTTCTTTTATGGCTAGGGAGGTTGAGCATTTCTGCATGTGTCTATTTGCCATCCTTCTTTCCTCTTCAAAGAAGTTTGTCTTTAAGTCTTTAGCCCACTTATTTATTGGGCAGTTGTTTCTTTGAAGATTTGTTGTTGGAGGATTTAATTTTTGAGTTTCAAGTATATTTTAGATATGAGACCCTTGTCCATTGAATGACTAGTGAAGATCTTCTCCCAATCCGTGAGCTTTCTATTGATCTTTGCCATGCAGAAGCTCTCCAATTTCATGCAATCCCATTTGTCCAACCTTTCTTTGATTTGTTGTGTTTCTGAATCTCTTTTAAGAAAATTTCGGCCTCTGCCAAGAAGAACTAGGCTCATTCTTTTTTTTCTTCCTTTCTTCCTAAATCCTGGGCCTACATAGGCCTACGCCATGAGACAAAGAGGGTATCATTCCACATTAGCTGCATTGGGATGTTCTTCACATAATGGTAGCTGGCTTTAACAGTAAATATCCCGAAACACAGTAAGTAAAAGATGTGAGTTTCATAAGGCCTGCACCAGTCACTGTTTCTGCACCACTTCAATGTATTCTATTCAAGCAGTCACAGGATGCAGAATCAAGTAAAGGTAACATAGCTCCTTCCCTTAATCACTCAGTGAGAGTATCAAAGGATTTGAAGACCCTATTCTAAACCAAAATAGGATTTAATTTTAATAGTGCCCTACGATGAAAAGCTCATTCATATTTATATCTTCTCTTTTTAAAAACTGTACACATGTTTTATCAAGGGATTCTGGCTATAATTAAAGCTACCATTAGATATACTGTGCCTGCTAATTCAAAACAACTCTGTACGTTCAACTGGGAATTTTAAGAACAAAAAGAATACCAGAATATTTACAAATACAAGGAGGAATCAACTTGAAAGTGGAGAATTCATTAAATGGAAACACAAGCAGGGCACCAGCAGCTTACAGGCGTAATCTTATCTACTTAGGAGGCTGAGATCTAAAGATAGCAGTTCAAAGCCATCCCAAGCAGGAAAAGTCTATTAGACTCTTATCTCCAATTAATCTCAGAAAAAGAGATTGTTGGTGCTGTGGCTCAAGTGGTAGAGTGCTAACCTTGAGCACAAGGAGCTCAGGGACAGTGCCCAGGCCCAGAATTCAAGTCCTAGGATCTGAAAAAAAAAAAAAAATTGCAAAACAAAGCACATGGAAGGTGGCCTAGAGAAGTACCAAAGTTGCTCTTTCTACCAGCATTCTACCAAGGAATTTTCAAAAATTACACCCCTTAGGTCCTTCCAGGAAAAATTCAGGACCTACTTTATGAAACCTTTACTACTAAGAACATGGAAGATATACAACCCAGAAAGATCACAAAACACTAGCAGTTTTTACACTATCTCAAAGCTGGTACAAATCATAGATGATTGTCTAACCAACTTTGTAGTAACAATCTACTTTTCTTTTATGTACTAATATACTAAGGAAAATAATTAATAAATCCTTAATTTAAAAAATAGACATTAGAAGAGTCTATATAAGGCAATTTTAGCCACTAAAAGTTTTTTAATCTAGAAAATAGAAGCATGTTATATTATAAATGTTCATCAGGAAGGACTCTTACCTTGGGGCTTCCTCCACCACCTTCTGATTTCTTCTCTGAATTGAACACTCTCGTTCATTAATCCACAAGGCATTTCCATGTTTATCACCTAAAACCTGAGAATATTATCTTTTGAAAAACTCATAGATGGGCTGGGAAGGTGGCTCAGTGGTAGAGCGCTTGCCTTGCATGCTCGAGGCCCTGGGTTCGATTCCTCAGCAGCACATAAGCAAAAAAAGAAAAAAGCCGGAAGTGGTGCTCTGGCTCAAGTGGTAGAGCACTAGCCTTGAGCTGAAGAACTGAGGGACAGCGCCCAGGCCCAGAGTTCAGGCCCTATGACCGGGAAAGAAAGAAAGAAAGAAAGAAAGAAAGAAAGAAAGAAAGAAAGGAAGGAAGGAAGGAAGGAAGGAAGGAAGGAAGGAAGGAAGGAAGGAAGGAAGGAAGGAAGGAAGAAAGAAAGAAAGAAAGAAAGAAAGAAAGAAAGAAAGAAAGAAAGAAAGAAAGAAAGAAATTAAGAAAGGAAGGAAGAAAGAAAGGAAGGAAGGAAGGAAGGAAGGAAGGAAGGAAGGAGAGAGAGAAAGAGACAGAGAGAGAAAGAAAGAAAGAGAGAAAGAAAGAGAGAGAGAGAAAGAAAGGAGAGAAAGAAAAAAGAAAGAAAGAAGAGAGAAAAAGAGAGAGAGAGAAAGAAAGAAAGAGAGAAAAAAAGAGAGAAAGAAAGAAGAGAGAGAGAGAGAAAGAAAGAGACAGAGAAAGAAAGAGAGAGAGAGAAAGAAAGAGAGAAAGAAGGAAAGAAAGAAAGAAAGAGAGAGAAGGAAAGAAAGAAGAAAAACACATAGACATAACAACTGAGTAAGCGTGCCTAGTTAACATTTTCCCAGAAACATCTCTTGGTTTGTAATATTCAAACCTCATTGAACAAACATACCTCTCAAAACATTCTTTAGGTTAATGTTAAAAGACCGTCTCTTCAACAAAAGGTGCTGGGAAAACTTAGCCACATGTAGAAAACTAAAACTAAATGCTATCTCTTCCTTGTACAAAAATAAATTCAAAATGGACCAAAGACTGCAATGTAAGATCTGAAATTTTTGAAGCTACTACAGAAAAATAGAGAAAACACTTGAAGGGTATTGGAAACAATTTCTGAGTAAAACCTTACTTGCTTAGGAAATAAGAGCAGAAACTGAGAAATAGAATTACATCAACTTAAAGGCTTTGGCACAACAAAGGAAAAAACACTAGAATGAAGAGATGACCTTCAGAATGAGAGAATATCTTCATCAAATATTCATCAGACAAAATATCATTATCCAGAATATATAAAGTGCTTCAAAAGTCAAATACCAGGCCGGGTGCCGGTGGCTCACACCTGTCATCCTAGCTACGTAGGAGGCTGAGACCTGAGGATTGCGGGTCAAAGCCACTCTGGGCAGAAAAATGAGACTCTGATCTCCAATAAACTACTCAAAAGAGCCAAAAGTAGGACTATGGATCAAGTGGCAGAGCATTAGCCTTAAGAACAAAGAGGCTCAGGGACAGAGGCTAGACCCTGAGTTCAAGTCCCAGGAGCAGCAAAAAAAAAAAAGTCAAATACCAGAAGAATTAAAAATCCAATCAATAAGTGGGCAAATGAACTAAACAAACATTTCTCAAAAGAAGCACAAATGGACAATAAATGTTTAAAGGTGTGTTCAACATTTTTAGCCATGAAGGAAATGTAAATCAAAGTGACAATGAGAGTCCATCTCTCAATTTCTTGATGAAGAATGGTCTTCATCAAGAAAAGAACAAACACTGGTAAGAATGTAGGGGTTGGAGAGAACCACCCCTTACATACTGTTGGTGGGAATGTAGGCTAGTGCAACTGCTTGGAAACCAGAGTGGAAGTTTCTCAAAAAAACTGTCATACAATTTATACAGTACTGTCATACAATTGTGCAGTACGGTGAGTTATCACTCCTGAGCATTTATCTAGAAGAAATGTAAGGAAGTCCACGATAAAGACCCTTGCAGAGCCCCAGCACTTCACAAGAGTCAAACTATGGATTCTTCTAAGTACCCAACAGGTGAATGGATAAATAAAATGTGGGCCAAAAATACACAATGAAATATTAGTAAACCATAAAGAAGAATGAAATTATGTATTTGCAGGAAGATGGTTGGAATTGGAAATCATCATGTTAAGTGAAATAATACAGACTAAGAAAGACAAACATTGTGTGTTCTCTGTAATATGTACAATCTAGGTTTTTTGTTGTTTTTTTTTTTAAAAAAAAGGGGGGGGGGAATGTCATGATTATAGAACAGGGACTTTTTCAGGAAAGGAAAATAGTTGATGAAGTGTAAACAGATTAGATTTTAGTGAAAGTACCTTATAGGCATGGATCAAAATAGAATAATTAAACATATGAACGACTGGTTTAAAATAGTTAATTGGCTTAAAAGAGCAATTTACAAGGTAAATTTAATGAAAGTACTTTATATACATGTATGAAAATTTAATATATATTAATTTCAAAAAGATATAATGAAAACAAAAAGACAGGAAGGAATAACACTCATGGAAAATCTCAATGGCATGATGTTATGTGAAAAAAAGCCAGATACAAGTTTAACATTATACTTGTCTAACATGATTAAGTATACTGTCTACATGAACTTTTTGGTGTTTTTTTGTTTTTTTTTTTTAATGACACCGGTGATCAAACTTAAGAAAGAGTCTCACAAATGCTAGGCAAGTCTTCAACCACTGAGTTACTCCTTTTGCTTCATAGATTAATTTTGTGTTCTAAAACTTTATACAGAGATAGAAAAATAAGCAAGTATTAGAATAGTTGCCTAGTATGCAGAAGGCCCTAGATTCAGCCCCAAAAACAAAACAAAAATCTAATCTTATGTTAGATGTCAGAATAGCAGTTATTAATATTAGACAAGGAAAGGGATCTACTGGGAAGTAGTGTGATTAAACTGTTTTGCTTAATAAAAAAAATTTATATCTAGACGTACATGACTGCTACATATGTATGTATATATATGTTTTTCTGAATTATACAATTAAGACTTTTCTATTTTATCATATGTAAGTAGCATTGCAAATTAGAAATTCTGAAAACAAAAAACCCACAAAATTAAAACTTGCTAGCCTCAGATAGAAACTCTATAAACTCAATGGTTCAGAACTACCAACTGATGCTATCTGTTTCCATGCATTTTTTCACTCTGAAAAATTTGAAAAGCTGGGCTGGGAAGTGGCTCAGTGGTAGAGCGCTTGCCTTGCATGCCTGAGGCCCTGGGTTCGATTCCTCAGCACCACATAAGCAAAAAGAAAAAAGCTGGAAGTGGCACTGTGGCTCAAGTGGTAGAGTGCTAGCCTTTGGCTGAAGAGTTGAGGGACAGAGCCCAGGCCCAGAGTTCAGGCCCCACAACCAGACCCCAAAAAAAAACAAAAAAAAAATTTTTTTTTAAATCTACATGAACATTGTCTATCAAGAAATGATAGCTGGGGCTGGGAAGGTGGCTCAGTGGTAGAGCGCTTGCCTCGCATGCCTGAGGCCCTGGGTTCAATTTCTCAGCACCCCATAAGCAAAAAGAAAAAAGCCGGAAGTGGCACTGTGGCTCAAGTGGTAGAGCGCTAGCCTTGAGCTGAAGAGCTGAGGGACAGCGCCCAGGCCCAGAGTTCAGGCCCCATGACCGGACCCAAAAAAAAAAAAAAGAAATGATAGCTATGTAAAGTTACCAAATATAGTACTACTTTATGTCCCCAGCAGAAGGGACATCACCTTTCCATTAGTTTTTCTGATTCTCTATTCACACCAAATTAACTTTAAAAGTTTACTTAAAACTCAATAGTTTCTAATTTGATATTCATCTCCTATAAGTTTTAAGTGTTGCATACCAATTCATAGTCATCATTTGAAAATTAGCATGAAAGTATTTCTGACAAATAAAAAAAGCAGAATTGTCTGCTGTGTTTTGCTAAAATACACACCCACAACCACTATAAAAATTGGACTACATTTTAATCTGAAAAGAAAAAATGAGTTACTCATCTCTAATATCAAGCTCACAACAAAATGCCTATTGCAGTGAGGCACAGATATGTGAGGACCTAAAATAATATGAGAGTCCAGGTTAGGACTTCTTTTCTTTTAAAAATGTCCCAGAATGGCTCAGTCCTCAAAGACACTACATGATTCTCTAGCTGAAATATATTTGTCTATTCAGATAGCTTAGAATGACTTTTCTTTAGGGGTTAGGTTTTTATCCATTCCCATCTGAATCAACATCCTAGCATTTCAACAAAAATATACCAAATTCCAAAAGCCTATGTCTAATCTATTTTTACTTATTCAAACATCCCCAAAGAATTGATAAAATCATTTTATATAGATAAAAGGATGCATTTCTCGTAAGATTAAATGATACTACTTAAAAGTCCTAATAATTACAAAGTAATTTAAAAACATACCAACCTGGATTTCTATATGACGAGGGTTATCAATAAATTTTTCTATTAGTAGCCTATCATCACCAAAACTAGAAGCAGCTTCTTGAGATGAAAATCTAAAACCATCCCTGTAAAGCAAAAAGGAAGAACAATCAGAATAATAAAACAAATACAGTCCTCATTTTATAAAGAAAACAAAAACAAATATTTACATTAGCTTACACTGGAACAGAGCAGAAATAGACTTGATCAATGTACAGATGAGTGAATTAATTTTAATTTTAATGTAATTCTCCCACTTAATAGCCTTGTGAGTTGGAGTGAGATATTTAATTTACTTAATCAGAGATTTTCTACTGAAAGAGAATATTAACATTTTGCACTCTTTTTGTTGTTGTTGTTGTTGTTGTTGTTGTTGGTCATGGGGCTTACACTCTGGACCTGGACTCTGTTCCTTGGCTTTTTAGCTCAAGGCGAGTGCTCTACAACCTGGGCCACAGTGTCACTTTTGGTTTTCTGGAGATAAGAGTCTCACAGACTTTCCTGCCCACGCTAGCTTTGAACTGCAATCCTCAGATCTCAGCCTCCTGAGTGGCTAGGATTACTAGTGCCCAGCCTTTTTTCACTAATTTTAAGTAACACTAACAAAAGAATATAAAAATGCACATTCATTTCTCAGAAGTTAGAAGATATAACAAAAGGTAAAGGGCCTGGTCAGCTGCACAACTGGCCCAGAACAACAACCAATGTAATTGTCAAGACTGAAAATACAGTTTGAAGATTCTCACAAGCATTTCCTGCCATTTTAAGTACATACTCTGACGTGTATTTGCCTCCACATACCCATACAGAGTATTACATCTTTATTTTCTTTAAAATGGACCAAAATAATTAGAGAAGAAATTTTTTATTATTTTTTAACAAATTTACATCACTTTTATGAAAATAAAATGGGCTTAGTCATTCCATTAAAAACTCAAACTTGGGGCTGGGAAGTTGGCTCAGTGGTAGAGCGCTTGCCTTGCATGCCTGAGGCCCTGGGTTCAATTCCTCAGCACCACATAAGCAAAAAGAAAAAAGCCGGAAGTGGTGCTGTGGCTCAAGTGGTAGAGCACTAGCCTTGAGCTGAAGAGCTGAGGGACAGCACTCAGGCCCAGAGTTCAGGCCCCATGACCGGACCCAAAAAACATAAAAAAATAAAAAATAAAAATAAAAACTCAAACTTACCTATAGGTAAAAAAAAATTGTTTTTAAGCCACTGGTGCATTAAGAATATAACATTTAAATTTTTTCTAGTTCTAATAAAGTTTATTTGCATTTGTATTTAACTTGTATTTTAAAATATTAAAACCAACTTCTCCTAATCCTTTCTTATACAAACAGACCATCTGGCAATATTAAAAATAACTATCTGTTTTTGTGCTGGAAACATATAATATTGCAGGTAAACACTTACTAGAAGACAAATTTCAAAAATGTTAACATAAGTCCTATTACAGCCACCTCAAGGAAAGTTATTACATATTCTTAGTCTTCTCTTACATTTTTGATTTAGGGAAATGGAGTCTATATCTCAGGAGACTGCAAACTTCAAAGAAACTAGAAGCAGAATGAATCATTGTTTCCAATGGCCATATAACCCACTTTTTATTAGATGGACTATAAAAAGAAAAACATAGTACTTTACACTTTGCCTCTGCTGTAATGATTGAGAACTTTGATTTTGCTTTCAAACCACGAACACCAAAAGCAAAAAAATCAAAGCTATCAAAATGTCTTTACAAATATTTGAAAATGTTACAGGCACATTTTTCAGGTAAAGGAAATTGTATTGAGAACATCCTATAGGGCTGGACATGCAGCTCGGTGGCAGAGCATGTGCTTCATATGTATGAAAGAGACCCTGGGTTCAATCCCCAGCACTACAAGCAAACAAAAAGCATCTTTTATTTCATTCAATTTATAACTCATTCAAATCATACAGGTTCGCTGGTCACCAAACATGTACCTATAGTTTAGGAACAGAAAACCAAAGTAAGAAACTGACCTCACAGTACCTACACAGTCTACTATATATATTCAAGTCCACAGACCTGGTTAATTTCATTCATACCACACATTTCACTTAAGAAGACGGCTACAGGACCACGTTCAACCACCTTCATGAGTCTCATCTCAATTCATTTTATATCAACATCAAATATTCTTTTTAAAATCTTCCTAATTATGTAAAGATGCCCACTTCCCTCAAAAAGCTCAGGAAAGATGTTACAAGATGAAAACACTTCTTTGAATAAAATGTTAAAAGCAACTAATGGAAACTCAATTTTACACTGCACCTAAAGAACTAAAGTATTTGTGGCTTATGCAAAAAGAAACTTCTTTATTGAGATAGGAGAAAAGAAGGAAGTGCATGAGCTATAGCATGATATAAATAGTGAATGATAATTATAAAAGATAGTATCTGGTGCTCACTGGACCATTCTCTCAATTCTTCTGTAGTTTTGATTTTTCCATATAAGCAAGGGATATAGTGTAACACATTAAAACAAAGAAAATATATTATTAAATCTAATGGTGCCACACTTGTGTTAATCTAAAAAAATTTCACAGTTTATCCAGCTAAACACAGTAATATTTTTAGATAGAAAAATGTGTATTACTATAAACTAGATAAATACCTTTTATAACAATGTGTCAAATTACTTGTCAAGAAAGGGTTATTTACCAAAGGAGGCCATATGAATGGGTATAGTGACTTCTGGAAATACTAAATTCTCAGTTAAAATTCACAGACCAAAAACAGCACAGCAAATCTTACCGGCAATAAACTTCTGAGTAACCTTGCCCATAAAATAATATGTTACTTGAAGCCAGGTCCTAAGAAACATAGGTCCCATGGTTTCCCTTATTTGCAAAATCTAGTATATGTGTGAGTCAAGCAGAAAAGGTCAGATAAGGTGACGTTAGGGAAATGAACCCTAAGATATGTATTCAAATGTTTTTTCTTTCGTGCGATTGTTTCTAACACATTTGTAAGATTATTTCTTTGTTGCTTTGTATGTCCCTCCCCCACAGTATAACCCCTGCTTTCACTGTATTTGATGTCAGTATAATTTGTGGAGGGGAAGGGGAAAAACAAATCGTTTAAATAGGGATACAGGTGGACCCATTGCAACAATGAGATGTACAAGTCGTTATGTCGAAAATGAACTTTACAACCTTGGGGGGGAGGGGAGGATTGGGTGGGGGGTGGGGGGTGGGGGAGGATGGGAAGGGATGGGAAGGGGCAACAAAGGAGGAGGCTACAATGCTTGATAAGAAATGTACTCATTATCTTGCCCATGTAATTGTAACCCCTCTGTACAGTATTTTCACAATAAAAAAAATAATAATGTGTTACTTAAAGTAGTCTGAAAAAATGTGGCATGAGGTTGTGTACCTGTTATCCAAGCTATGTGAGAGGCACAGATACAAGAATAAGTTCAAGGCAAGCTCCTAGAAGAACAATTAAGAACTTATCCAAAAACATAACTAAGCAAAAAAAGGGCTAGAGACATAGATCAAGTGGTAGGGCACCTGTCTAGCAAGTGGGAAGCCCTGAGTTCAAACCTCAGGACCATAGTAATAACAACGGCATCAATAATGCTCAAAGTGCTATCAAATGCGTGGGACCAAAAACAAAAACAAAAGCCAGAAGTGGAGCTGTTGCTAAAGTGACAGAGTACTAGTCAGCCTTGGCAATAGCAGCCTTGGCAATAACACTCAGGGACAGCTCTGTGTGTGTGTGTGTGTGTGTGTGTGTGTGTGTGTGTGTGTGTGTGTGTGTGTGTGTGTGTGTGTGTGTGTGTGTGTGTGTGTGTTAGTAATAGTAGTAGTTGTAGTAGCAGTAGTAGTAAGTAGGTTGGGAATATAGCCTCAGTGGTATAGTGCTTACCTAATATGAACATGGTCCGGAGTCTGATCTGTAGCACAGCAAATAAATACATGCACAGACACACATACATACATACATACATACATACATAAATATATGAATGAATGATTCTATAAATAAATGACTTTATTTATACTGAAATATAGACACCAAAATATTTCGGATAGTGGGGTGTCTTCTCACTCCTGTAATCCTAGCAACTCAGAAGATCTCAATATGAAGCCAGCCTAGGCAAAAAAGTATGCTAGATTCTATCTCCAAAATAACCAGCAAAAAGCCAGCCTAGCAGCATGGCTCAAGTGGTAGAGCACCAGCCTAGCAAACACATACCTGTGCATGTATATTTAGGATATAATTCTTGTAGTATTTTTTCCTAAATAATAAGCTCTAAAAACAGGTCTACTCATCATTACAACTTGAAGATCATTAATACCATAATGGTAGAAAAGAATATGTGAGGGGCTGGGAAGGTGGCTCAGTGGTAGAGTTCTTGCCTTGAGCTGAAGAGCTGAGGGACAGCGCCCAAGCCCAGAGTTCAGGCCCCACGACTGACCCAAAAAAAAAAAAAAAAAGAATATGTGAGTTTTCTAATAGTGAAAAGTTCCACAGATACTATTAGTTTGATTTGTTGCCATATTGGAGGAAATAGGAAATACCAGGTACAGGTTAAAGGAATATGTACATGTTTTGTTCACCCATATTCACGAACCTCTCCTAAATTTTATGTTTTCCTGAATTCAAAGTTAAAATCCTTGACTTAATTCATAAAATGAAAGAGAATGGATTTTTTCCATGGTTATTCATTGCTATATCTCTGAAACCTAACTAAACCATGAAGAAAGGAAGAGAAAGCAGAATTAATCATTTAGAAGACCAGATTACTTCTGGGTGGAGAAGACAAGAAAATCAAAAGGACATTAATAACCCCTTGGGTTTCATTCCATCTTCTCCAACAACAACATGGGTTTCTCCTGGGGCCAGATCTGAAAACAAAAAATACAAATGGGTCCAGGGCTCCCAAAAATCTTCTAATGTAGGCAGTTGCCTGAGTAACTATTTTCTAATTAATATGATGCCATCATGTACTATTTGTACATGACTTCCCTGAAACATTACTTTTAGCCAGGCATGGTAACACACACTTTACTCCCCACACTCAGACTGAGGCAAGAGAATCATGAGTCTGAAACCAGCCTGGGTTATATAATGAGATCCTATCTCAAAACAAACAAACCAATAAAAAGTTAATTTTGATTCTTAAAACTAGAAAGAAAAAACTCATTCTAAGCAAAGTAAAAGACATACAGTCACTTCAAACTCAGAAGGAAAAAAGATTTATTTCACACTATAAATTATCAAGGTGATTCACTATTGCTACGGATAGGAAAAGTAAGTACATACTGAGCCAGTACATAAACTCTCAATGAAACACAATTGTCTTTAAACTTAATTCAACTCTTTAGGCAATATTCTGAATTTTGCAGCCATAGGACTAAAAAATAGAATTGCAATGATAGTTTTTTTTTTCAAAACCCTGTAAAAACAAAAGGAAATATACATTGTTAATGAAAGAAAACTTCTAACAATCTTTCCATAATAAGATAGTCATCATCAAAATATAAATAAGGAAGGTTTCTGCATAGCATCCATTTTTCTCCCACTCTAAGGAGTAAAACTTAGATGGTTATTGTAATTACTCCGTTATGCTTTTGGTATCTGTTTACCTGTCAGTTTAATAAAACTCTGGTAACTGCAATTTTCATCAAAAATATATTTTGGACAGCCTCTCACCTGGTCTCTTCATCATTCCAAGCGATGCGCATGCCTTTCCCACCACCACCTGCTGAGGCCTTGATCATGACAGGGTAGCCTAACAGCAGGGAAGAACGAGACAGAAGTTCAGACTTTGATCATTTGGATGTATTAACATGACAACTGACCACATGTTCAATAACGAAGAAGAGGATAACTAATTTATTTAAAAGTTCCTTTCTTTAAAGTCAGAAAAACAACACCAGTGTAATGATTGTGTGTGTTTGTGTGTGTGTGTGTGTGTGTGTGTATACATATATTTTTATTCGTATTTTTTCAAAAGAAAAAAAAAGAGTACTGTGTCAAAAGAATGTGTTTTCCCTAGAAATAAAATAACTATATATTAATTATTTGGCAATGAATTTCAAAACTGAATTAGAAGGTAGAAGATATATTTCACATAACATGCATACACACACAAACATATGATGTCCAAAACTGCTGTTTACATGCCTAATAAATCCCCTTTTTTCCAAAAGTAAGATTTCCATGTACTTCCATTTGAGACATCATAGAAATTTCTTATGGCTCTTATTAGAAAGAATGGGCATGATGGTGTGAGAAAAAGTCAAATATGGCTGGAGCAGAAGATCCAGGGCTCACTAATAACCATGGAGCAGTAATTGAGTCCATCCATTCTCTCAGTTATCATAAAAATACGAAGCAAAATCCAAAATAAAGGGTATTTTCAGTTAAAGTTTTGAGAAGATAAAATCATGAAATTTTTATTTACAAGACTAGTTATAAAAAATTACTATGATTATATATCAAAAAAAGTTAGTATCTTTGGGAAAAGGATTCCTGGAAATTTGATAAAAATATTCATACATTTAATGCCATTTGTTAATGATTTCTCCTGAAGAAAAAAGCAATCAGTAAGACCTTAAAGGACTCTTCCTGGTCTGTGATTCTATGATAGCACTGTACTCTAGCTATAGGATCCTTAAAAAAGAAAAAAGGAAGAGAGGGGCTAAGTGTCACAGACCTTTGACCCTTTCACCACAAAACATCACCTTAAGTTCATAGTTAAAATAGAACTTGCTTCCAAAATATTTCAGAATTAAGTCAACTAAAAATATTTGCTCAGGTTTATGCAGAATAGCATTTTAAAACAATGCTAAGTACAGTGAGATGAACAAAGATAAATACCATATTGTTCTTACATTAAGGGCCTTAAAATCCTGGAAGAGAGGCAAAAGACCCAATAATTTCACCATTGGGACTGAAAAGAGCAAAGGATCTTCGGAAGGTTTGGAGAAAAGGAATTGGGATAAACATAATACAGGAAAGGTCATTTAAATGAACGATGAGCAGGATTTAAACATTTTGGTCAGGAAACATAGAAACAAAACAGAGATGAGGATACAAGACAAATTGAAGAAATGAGCAAAACTCATTTGAAGTACAGCCTATTTGCAGAATAGCAGAGAAAAAAAAAAGGAACTGAACACATAGACTGGGGGCTGAGTAAGGCAGACTTAGCATGCTTTCATCTTGAACCTTGTATATGCTCTTGTGTGATGTTTGATACTGTGGGAGGAGCTTTTCAAGAATGGGTTAAGAGAGAGAGAGAGAGAGAGAGAGAGAGAGAGAGAGGGAGAGAGAGAGAGAGTGTGTGTGTTTTGTCTCATTCTCTGCTTCTGCCTCATGATGAATCTCAAAATAAATGAATTAGACTGAAATTGGCAAAGAAAATTTAGCTGTGTTTTGAGACCTGAAGAATTCCTACTACAAATTCAAAAACTGCATACCTACAAAATCCTGTTTACAGCAATTTAAGGTCTTTTAAACTAATGAATCTGTATTTCTCTCCTATCAAAACAAAAACAAAAACAAAAGCCATGTCACCAATTCACAGACACAAATTATACATCCATGTAGCAGGAAACAGATGAATCCTAGTGTCCACATCCTCTGTCTCTATGGTGCTCTCATCGCCCTCTGAGGATGAGAACACTTCCAGAGTTTTTCACTCCAGTACTAATCTCAGTCATTTATTCTAGATCCTGCACTATACCATCATTTCTGAGTTGCAAAGTAAATGGAGAAACTGTTCTTGTTCACAAAATATATAAAATAATTATTAATAAGAAATAATTAAATGTCCAGAAAGGATGAGGTAATTAATGAATGAAACTATGTGTAAGAAAGTAACATTGCTTCCCAAAGAAAAAGGCAATGCAGTATTAAACCTGGTTACACCTATGAGCTAAAACAGCAACATTCTCAAGAAACATCTAACAAACCAAAATGAAAAGGCTGGGAGGGAAGGAGAAACTATGGAAGTTAGTGATTGTATCTAGTTTAATTTCTGAGCTGTATTCTGAAATCCTATAAAGGTTTGCTTTTTAGCCTGGTAAGTTACTGTTTTCCAGGTAGAAATTTCTTTTTTTTTTTAAAATACAGTGCTAGGGATTGAAGGCAATTGCTCCTCCCCAGCCCTCTGTCTCTCCAGTACTGAAATCATTTCTTTTGGCTAAAAGACTGCTTTAAAATAAAAAATAAAATCCCAGGATCCCAGTGCTATTTTAGAATTTCCTCGCCATTACTGTCCTCTCACTGTATGTCTTGTGCTACTGCCTCTTCACACCTCTACCTAGTCAGAGGTAACCTGCCTACTGACACTCCAACTCCAGCCTGAAGTTAACTTTAGCTTTGCCCAGTTAAAGAGAAAGGAATACTTACAAAATGGAACTTAACAAATCTGAATAGGTGGGGTGGGAGAGGTTAAGGAACTATAAGAATTTAGGTTATCAAAAGATTAAAATGGCTAGGCACCAGTGTCTCACATATGTCATCCTAGCTATTCTAGAGGCTGAGATCTGAGGACTGCAGTTCAAAGCCAGCCCATACAGGAAAGTCTATGAGACTCTTATCTCCAATCAACCACCAGAAAACCAGAAGTGGTACCGTGGCTCACAGTGGAAGGGCACTAGACTTGAGAGAAAAAGCTCAAGTACAGCACCCAGGCCCTGAGTTCAAGCCCTACAACCAAGAAAAAAAAATTGAAATGTTTCTATTCCTAACTGTGGACTCAACTTGCATGAGCTGAGCAGGTTTAATGCCAGGACAAGACATGCTCTCTGAGTTCCTTGCCTCCCAACAACCAGTGTGTCTTGCTTTTCCACCACAAAGAAAGCAATCTTCAGTCTAACTCTACTATCAAATTTTCACTCATTCATTTTAAAATGCATTTAATGAATATATATATATACATATAGTATATATTAAATATTGGATAATTTATAAAGTCCTCTTGTTTTCTGGTACCTATTACCTGATACACATACACCTAAATATATATATACATTTTATATGTATATATATATATATACATATACACATATATGCACACATATGTACACTGTATATACACATAAATTGTATATAAATATACATTGTCACTATATGTACATAATATATAATATATAAATATAATTGTAATATATAATAATATAATTATACATATATAAAATGGTATTATAATAAAACAACACAGAAGAATGTGTTGAAAAGGCTCTTCTGAGGAAATTGACAAGAGCTAGCCCTCAGAAAAATCAATGAGGACTGGGAAGGTGGCTCAGTGGTAGAGCGCTTGCCTTGCATGCCTGAAGCCCTGGGTTCAATTCCTCAGCACCACATAAGCAAAAAGAAAAAAGCCAGAAGTGGCGCTGTGGCTTACGTGGTAGAGCGTTAGCCTTGAGCTGAAGAGCTGAGGGACAGCGCCCAGGCCCAGAGTTCAGGCCCCATGACCGGACCCAAAAAAAAAAAAAAAAAAAAGAAAAATCAATGAGAGAAAAGGATGGTTGGCAGTAGGACAAGCTGGCAAGTACTGTATAGAAGCAGAAGAGCCCTGATGGTAGTTTATAAGATTGCGCTGACTGCTGTCAAGTGACTGAACTGTGGAAGCAAGTAGACTGGTTCTGAGGTCCAGGTGATAGACAGCTGTAACTTGTATTTGGTAAGTCACAATAGAGACAGAGACAAAGACCTAAAATTTGTTTTAGGGAGTTAGTCAGCAATGGTGTGGATATGGAAAAAAAGGGAATGAAAGGAGACTGGAAGCTTAGAAACTTGCTCCTTATAGATTCCAAGTCAAAAACAACCATCTTTCCACACTAACTGAAAACTCCATGTTTATACACAATATAGAGCCTTTCAGGCCAGGCGCTGGTGGCTCACACCTGTAACTCAAGCTACTCAGGAGGCTGAGTTCTGAGGATTGCAGTTTGAAGCCAGCCTCAGCAGGAAAGTCCATGAGACTCTTATCCCCAATTAACCACGAGGAAACCAAGTGGTAGACTACAAACGTTGAACAAAAAAAGCTCAAGGAAAGTATCCAGGCCTTGAGTTCAAGCCCCAAGACTGGGCAGGGAGTGGGGGAGGGGAGGAGGGAGAGAGCTTCACTCTTCAAGCAACACCTACCATATACATGGTGAACACAACTTGTCATTTAAAAGGTGATAAAATCAGATCTCCATGCTACAATATGGGTCATTCATTAAATAAAGAAATCTATTTTTTTACATATGTTATCTTTTTTACAGTTTCTTGAACATTCATAGGCTATAACAACTAGTGGAGAAAGAAAAATAGGAAAATAGAGAAAATGCTCTATTCCTAACTTAACAGTGCTAATCAGAAATTGCTCAGAGGTTTAAAAAAAAAGTATTACTCTTTTTATGGATAGGAAACATACAAATAATTGCAAGGCCTTTGTTTCCTAATAGAAAGGTTCAAAGTAAAAGGAAAATAAGAAATATTTTGGGAACAGTAGCTGAAAACAGGCAGTGAGAGGACTATAGATATTTCTATATAAACCACACTCAATAATAGGAAATGGGACCTTAGAAGAAAAAATAAAAGACTCAAGGGGGGGAAAAAAGATACATAATACGCAGGAAGGATCCTTAGGTGAAAAACAGAAGACTGACACTAGGAGCTCACACCTGTGATCCTAACTACTCAAGAAGCTGGTATCAGGAGAATAGAAGCTCAAATCTACTCTGAGAAGAAAAGTCCAAAAGACTCCATCCATATCCAAAAAAATAACCAGTA